CCCCCCCTGCCGGTGACACCCCTCGCGGACGGCTAGCCCTCCCTCCGCGCCCTCGCCGAGCCATGTCGGGCAGCAACATCAAGGTTATCTGCCGGTTTCGGCCGGAGAACAAGATTGAGAAGGCCCAAAATGCTGGGCTTTGTGTCGAGTTTCCCAATGACACCTCGGTCACAGTCAATGTACGCTCCTGCGAACTGGGCGGGCAAATTTCGGCCTTCTCTTTCTCTCTCTCCGGAGACATGCACACGCCCTGCCCTTTGTTTGGCTCGTGCTGATCCCCCCATCCCCCCCCCCCCCCCCTTCCACGGTCTTCTGTCCGTACCCTTGCTCAGCACTCGCGCGGCAAGAACACCTTCCACTATGACCGGGTTTTCGACTGGACTGCCTCGCAAAAGGATGTCTTCGAGCTCGGGGCCAAGGCTGTCATCCAGGGTGCGTCCTCCCTTTGACCCTCGGACCTTGCCCATGCGCATGCCGTGCATTTGCATCTCGCGTCATCCTGTCCCCCCGTTGCTCACATTCTCCCCGACTCGCCGGGCCGCACAGACGTCATGAATGGCTATAACGGCACCATTTTCGCCTACGGCCAGACCGGCTCCGGCAAGACCTTCACCATGCAGGGCCCGGAGATCCCCGTGTCGGTCATGCAGGCAGCCCTGGAGGGCGGGGACCTGGGCGACTTCGCCGGGTACGATCCCGAACTCCGGGGTCTCGCGCCGCGTGTCGTGGAGGCCATCTTCGAGGCGATCGCCTCCGCCCCGCCGACCATGGAATTCACCGTGTCATGTAGTTACCTGGAAATCTACATGGAGCGTGTCCGTGACCTGCTGGACCGTGCGTACAGCCTCCCCCATTTGACCTTGCTCGCCCTATCCAGGCAGCCCGGCCATTTCTCACTTCTGCCCTGTCACGTCGGTCCTTTGCCTTCTCGTCCACAGCCAAGAAGGACAACCTCTCCATTCATGAGCACCCCGGCCGAGGGATCTTCGTCAAGGATCTTACCGGCATCTATGTGGCCAGTGCCATGGAAAGTCTCAACGTCATGGAGATCGGCGCCAATAACCGCGCTGTCAGCGCCACCAGTGCGAACACCTTTTCCTTCTCTCCTTTTCCCTCCCATGTTGGCCTCCCATCATGTTGGCCTCCCATCATGTTGGCCTCCTCTCATCCCCCCCCCCCCCCTGCGGCCATCATCTTCATCGGCCGCTGATCACTGACCTCTCCTCCACCCGGCAGACATGAACGCCGAGTCCTCTCGCTCCCATGCCATCTTCTCCCTGACCATCACCCAGCGGAATACCACCACCCAATCGTCCAAGGTGGGGCGCTTGTATTTGGTGGATCTGGCCGGCTCGGAGGCTGTCAATAAGACCGGTGCCGCCGGGCAGCTTCTTCAGGAGGCCAAGACCATCAACAAGTCACTAACCATGCTGGGCATGGTGATCAATGCTTTGGCTGATAAGAAGGTCCGCACGCGCGCTTGGCATGTCTTGACTCCGGTTGTTGGTTTCTTCCTGGCGACTCATCCTCCGACCTCCCTTTCCTGCCCGGTGTCCGCGCCATCGCACGTCCATGCACATCGCTCTGCCCATCGAACACATGGCAACAGTCCACGCACATTCCCTACCGTGATAGTAAGCTCACGCGTATTCTCCAAGAATCGCTCGGTGGTAATTCCCGCACGACGCTCATCATCAATGCCTCGCCCTCCTCGTACAACGATGCGGAGACCCTTTCGACGCTTCGCTTCGGCGCGCGGTGCGTGCACACCAGTGTCCCCTTCTTTCTGCGTCGGGTATCGTGCTTGTGCGCGATCTTCTGCTAACAGGGGGCTCCTTTGTACAGTGCCAAGACGGTCGAGAACAAGGCCACCGCCAATGTGGAGCTCAGTCCCCAGGAGCTTCGCCGGATGCTCAAGGCCGCTCGCGACCAGCTGAAAATCATCACCGCCAAGCTGGCCATCGCCGATGCCGAGTTGGCTGTCTGGCGAAGTGGCGGGTCGGCGGCCGAGGCGGAGGCCGCAGCCGAAGCGGCCAAGCAGGCTGCCGGTGACCTGGCCACTGCCAGCGTTGATGGGGCTGGCGCTGGTGCCGCCGCCCCGCCCAGCCCGCCGGCCTCGGTGCTCCTGGACTCGGAAATGTCGTCGAGCTCGTCGTCCGGCGTGTCGCCCTCCTCGTCATCGCAAACCTCGCCCCTCGCCCAGGAGGAGGAGGAGGAGGAGGAGGAGGACGAAGACCGGGAACAGGAGGAGGCCGAGGCAGAGGATGAGCCCCAGCCGGACGCAGGCGATGCCGAGCTATTCAGCCCCTTCGAATCGCCGCCGATGGCCAGCACCTCGCCCGAGCTCGGGAACATGGAGGACGAGGAGTCGACGGCCGCAGCTGTGCGGGATTCCGGTATGTTGGCCGTTTGCTGTGTCACGCTCCTTGGTTTGCCTCTGACTCCCCCCCCCCCCTCCTTTCCGCCTCTCCCTTCGCGTCTGCAGACGAAGTCATCAGCCTCCGGGCGCGTGTCGCCGAGCTCGAGCAGGAGCTTTTGGAGGCCCGTGCGGCCAAGGAGGCCGATGCCGCGGCCGCCGCGGCCGCTGCTTTGGACCATTCGGCCCCGGGCTCGCGGGTGTCTTCACGGCCCTCCAGCCCGACCCCCGAGGCGGTGGTCGACGATTCGACGTCCACCCCTGGGCACCAGCTTTCCCCAAGCCCCTCGACCGCCGAGGATCTGGCCGAGTCGGCCAGCAGCACATCTGTGGCTTCGGCAGGTGCTGGGTCCCCTCCCGGGGGGAGGGCTGCCGCCCCGGCCGGGGCCTCCACCTCTCCGTCTATGCCGAGCCTGGATGAGATCTCGGCACTGGCCAGCGCATCGCGCGCCGCCGCAGCCGCCGCCGCCAGTGCCGATGGCTCGCAAAAGACCCAACCGACCGACATCCATGAGCTTAACCGCTATGCCGAGGAGCTCCAGCACATTCAGTCGCGCGTGCGTCCCTCCCTGCTTCTCCGCGGCCCATACGCCCGTATTCTGTGCCCCTTCCCCCTTTTCTCTCTCTCTCCTTCTCTCTCTCCTTCTCTCTCTCCTTCTCTCTCTCCTTCTCTCTCTCCGGCTGCTCCCTCGTGTAGGGGCTAACTTGTCTTTCGCCATCCGGACGCCCCGCAGCTTCTGGAGATGCTGCTGGCCAATCGGGAACAGCTACAGCGCGAACGCGAGGCCCACAGCCGGCGCCTGAATCGTCGCGATCAGAAGATCTCCGCCCTGGAGGCCCATGCCAAGAAGCTCCTGTCACGCTGTGAGACCAGCGAGCGGAGGTACGCGCTCCTTCTCTTTTTCGTTTTCACCTGCATCTTCCGAGTCACTGACCTCGCCTCGCATCTGCCGTTGGTGCCCCTGCCTTTGGCCATCCTCCTCCCCCTGCTCCTCTCCGCTCCCCCCCCCCCCTCTTCTGTCGTCCTCATTCCACTCAGACGCGTCTACGAGACCGAGCTGTACAAGAAGGCCGTCAGTCAATTCGAGAATCGGAGTGCGTCTGCTCCCCGTATCCTACTCCCTCCTTTTCTCCCGCCCTTTCCCTCCCCACAGCGCTGCTCCTTCTTCCCCCCCCCCCCGGCTCCTCCGCCACTGCATGCTGACACATTCGTGCACCGGTTGATAGTCCGGCACTATTACGTCTCCGGCGAATATCGGCGCCCGCCGAAGGATGAGACCGGACTTGTGTCCCCGGCAGCATCGCGTGTGGCCCGACCGATCCGTGGCGGTGGGGGAGCTACTCCCTCCGGAACAGCCGCCGGTATGACCACCAAGCCCCTTTCTGGACAGGGGACATCCGCGGCCGGGTCCAGCGCGGCGGCAGGCGCCGGGTCAGCAGGTTCGGCAGCCGGCCCTAGTGGGTCACAGCCCGCCGCTACCTCGGGCCAGCAACAGGCCGAGCTCACATCCGCCTTCTTTGCTAACTGGTTTGAGACCTTTAAGGAAAACTCCTCCGTGAGTAGGGCCGCTGTGGCGGCGGCCGCGGCCGCGGCAAAGCCCCCGGCGACGACGGCACCTTCGCGGCCGGCCCCTGCCCCTCCGACGGATGCTGGTGCCTCTTTGTCAGGACCCGAGGCGACACATTGATACCCCCACCCTGCCTTTATCTCTCCCCCCCCCCCCTTCCCTCTGTTGCGGTGTGTCCCTGCGCCTGTGCCCTCCCCCCCCCCCCCCTCCCGCCTGTCCTTGCCGTCTTCATGTCTCTCTCCCCCTCCCCCTCCTCTTCCTCCCTCCACGTGCCGTTCCCCGGCCCATGCTGCTCTCCGTTCTCATGGACGAGGAGCGCACTTAGGGTGGTGGTCTCTCTCTCTCTTGACCGAACAATACATAGTTATTCCTTCCTCTCCCCGGTGCAGCGTGTATGGTTTTGCATGATGCGGCGTTTTCTCCGGTTCCAAGGGCGACTTAGGGGAGGACACACAACAAGAAGATGAGAGTTCTGGGAGTCTTTATTGGTGTTTTCTCTTTCTTTCGCTCCTTTCGTCCCCTTCTCCGAAGGCGGGAAAATACGAAAAAAGGGCTGCCTGCTGCTTGCCGCCCGCTCGGCCGGCGGCACCCGGACAGGGCGTAGTCTATCAGAAGCCAGCACAATAAATGCAATCACGCGGTACATCCTCCACATGTGCAGGCGTGCGTCCCAGCTCGGATGGCGACTGCCAGGGAAGGGAGACGTACACGGGGGAATAAAGGCAGGGCTGAGACAAAGAGGGGGAGGAGGAGACAGAAGCGGAGGCGGAGGTGGGGGGGGGGGAGTCATCTCCCCATGGACGACTGATGTGGAGAGAGGAAGCCCTGACACCTCCCGTAGATAGCCTCCTCCGGTGGAAAAATGATGCAGTAGTTGCCCTCAGGGGGCATTACTTGGCCCCTGGCACGATATCCCAATTGAAGTAGACCGTTTTCCCCGTGAAGTACGAGGAGGAGTTGTCCCAGCTAAGAATGTACGTGGAGTCGGGGTCCACGGCAATACTGCCCTTCACCGGGTCCACATGCGAGTCGACCATGGCCGGGTCTACCACCGGGACCTCGGTGCTGAGGGGGAGGGGGGGGGGGCATATTTGTTGTGGGATAGGGTGGCATCGTTTGTTCGGACCAACCACGCACACAAACACACACACACACACACACACGGGAGGGGGAGAGAGAGAGAGAGAGAGGGCGAGAAAGGAAAAGGGGGCGAGAAGGATAAAAGTCAGTCACGCCATCCGGAGGAGGAAGGGCATGGCGAAGGGGGCGAAGGACAATGGGAGGAGGAGAGCGAAAGGTGTCGCTGACACGCCTTCACACTCACAACCCCGAGGGCGGGAATGAGGAGGAGAGGGAAAGAGGCCGCTCCTCCGTGCCTCCCGGCATGCGCAACATACCCGGCCGAGGTAACTCGGAAGACGCCGAAGCGGATGTTGTTCTGCACGGTCATAAAGTGCCAGGTCAGGTGCGGAGCCGATTGCTGGTCACTCAGGGACAAAGCCTTCATGCGCAGATCCGTGGCCGACGGGTCGACAGTGGCTGGCTGCTTCTTGTTCAGCTGGCAGCTGGAGGAGGGCGACACAAAGTCCGCGGTCGAGTCCTCCGGCGACACAAGCTCATCCGAGGAATCGGGCGGGGTGTTGTGCGGGCGTGGGGCAGCAGAAGCACTCGGGGGACCCTCTTCGATGGCATCACACTCGACCTCGGAGTCATCCTCACACTCGGCCTGGGACCCGGGGACCAGGGGGGCCGAGGCGAGCACGGTAGCGGCGACTCCCGAGCTCGGGGCGCACGTCGGCTCCGGCAAGTAATACTGATTGGTCGGGGGGCCGGAGGTCAGCTCCAGAGACCCGGCGGCTCGCTGCCGGAGCAACTCCGGGATGGACACCGTCACGCGGAATTCATTCCGCGCTGAAACATCCTTGACATGGGGGTAGAAGTACTCCCGGCGATCAAGACGCAGGCTGGGCGAGCAGCCTCCCGGCTGCGAGGTGCAATAGCACTGCCCCCCGAGGAAGGCTGGCAGGTTCTCCGCATCGATGGCCTCCAGCAGGGCACGGGTTTGCTCCGGGCCTCGGGTATGGAACTGAACCTTGGAGAAGGTCTCGGCATCGACCCACTTCTTGCCGAAGGCCTGGAACTTGGTGAAGATCGGCGGGCAATTGACGAAGAAGGCCCGGCGCAGGGACTCCGGGTAGTTGTCCATGTCCAGCTGCCCTGTGTGGCGAACCATCATGAGAGCCGAGATGTTGAACTCTGCATGGAGTGAATGAACACATGCATGCATGGGGCCATTGCAAATAAACGGGCGAGGAGGAGGTGAGGGAGGGAGGGAGGGATGGAGGGATGGAGGGAGGGGGGGGGGCGGGAAGCCAGATCGCGCAGGGGCACGCACGGGAAATGGTCAGGCCCGACATGTCGAAGATGGCGGTCAGCTTGTCGACGCGGGGCTCATCGCGCGTCCGAAAGCGGCGAGTCAGCTCCGGCATCAGCACTCGGCGAATCATTTCCTGCGTGCGTAGGTGGATGTGCTCCAGCGTCTCATAGCTGACATGCTTGGAGTAGCTATGCGTATCGAGCAGGCCCAGGCGCTGGCAAGGAATGGCACAAGAGAAAGAGCCATCGGGGGCGAAGGAAAGAGGATCAGCATGATGTGAGGTCGATTGGCGGCTGTGCGAGATGACGCACATCGATGAAAATCGGGTGGCCCTCCTTATCCCACTTGTGGACGCAAACGCCGCCAATGGAGGAGAACATCTGGACCAGAGCCGGGGAGGAGGAGGAGGAGAGGGAGGGGGGGGGGGGAGGGAGCGAAGTTAGACAAGGCAATGTCAGCAGCGAGACGCTGAAAGGGCATGTGGGGGGTATTCCCGGACACGGGCGCACCTTCTCCTCCTCCGGGTTCTTCGGCACAGCATTGCAGTCGCGGATGGACTGGAACCCGCGCACGGCAATCGGCAGCAGAGCGTCCTTCGGGGCCAGCTCCGGCCCGGGGGCCCCAACAATCGGGAAGACCTCGAGCTCGGCTCCGGACTTGACGCGCCAGTTGGCGGTATCCTGCAGCATCGACAGCGCCTTGTTCTGCCAGCAAGAGATAGGGATGGAGAGAGAGAGAGAGAGAGAGGAGGGCAGGGAGGGGGTGGGTGGTTGTGCGTATGTGAGGAGGGGGGGGGGGGAGTGGTCAGAAAAGCAAGCTGGATGAAAATAACCCTGGCGGCTACGGGGGCGACAGGCCATGGGGCATTTCCAGGACGTACCACGTCCAGCTTACGAGCGATCAAGAAGCGCAGTAGCACTTGGTCGTCGCTGTGCGGAAGATGGCGATCCAGTCGTCGTGCGAGGCATGAAGTCAGACATGTGGCCATGCATGCAGGCACGAATGCAAACCCATGTGCGATATGCAAAGGGGTGTCCAGGATGGTGATCTTCCAGCATCTGTCTTGGGCCCGCCCCAGGCGGGAGAAGCAAGGGAACGTACGACAACTTCAAGGCTTGGAGGTTTGGGCTGCTTGGCAGGGCAGCGTCAAATGCAGCCCGAAGAGCATCCAGGGCCTCACGCTGTTGTGGGGGCAGCTGCTGCAGCCAAGCCGGCGGGGCCGAGGCTTCGGCAGTGTTTGGGAGGGCAGTTGACATGGAGGAGAGAGAGGAGCGCAGGGCGCGATCGATCGACAACGCGTCGGCAGTGTATGTGTGCGCGTGTGTGTGTGTGTGTGTGTTAGGGTGTAGGGGTGTAGGGGTGTGGGCGTGTAGGCGAGGAGGGGGGAGGGTGTGTGGATGCGCGAGGTGCGAACACAGGCAGAAGTGGGGTGCTGTTGTTCCCCAGGAAGAAGTTGTGGCCTGGGGCTGTAAAAATGTGTGGCCTCCTCCGAAAAGGCAAGGAGAGCGGAGTCACACTGCGATCGGACTGACTTGTGACGGGTGATCGTCAAAGTGCGATCTGGCCGAGGGGGAGGGGGGGTGGCTTCGGCCGCGGTAGGTGCCCCCCCCCCCCCCCCCCCCGCATCTCTGGGGGGGTTAGTCCGGGAAAAGCGCCATCGAGGACGCCCTCGAAAGTCCGACCAAACAAAGGACGCGGCCCATCACTGGCACGGCGCGAGGTCGGGACGGCGGGAAGTATGAGGGGGGCGCATCGTGTGGGGTGGCGTCCGAGAGGAAGGGAAAGTCTGTCTCTCGTTGCCCCCCCCCCCCCACACACACACACACACTCAGGGGAGAGAGACGCCGCCATTCGTGAGGGAGAAGGAATGTAACCCCGCGCTTTAGACGGCCACTCTCCGTCACCGGTGGCTGTGATGCGGTCAGCCAGGCCATTATTCCTGGGAGCCCGGAACGGGCCGTTTGCGATCATCTGGTTTGGGGTGAAAATGGAATAAACGAGTGAGGGCCTCCCAAGCCTGGGTGGGGAAACGCGGGGAAAAAAAAGGCCCCATTTGATGCACATGAAAATTCGCGCGCCCCTGCCCCTCTCCCCGGGGGGCCTTCATGCGCAAGTGTGCATGTCCTGTACGGCCGAAGGTCTGGCGGCTCAGAGAAAGGGACGGCACTGCGGCCATATATGCGAGGCGTCGGATGTCCCAGAAGGGGGGGGCCGAGGGAAGGCAATCGGCCGGGAGCCCGCCACCGCCCCCCTTCGGCCCGATCGGGGCGCTCAGCTGGGTCGGAGGTCGCCCATCGTCAAGCCCCAGGCCGCTGGCACAGTCGGCCACCAAGCGTGCGGAATGGGCGGGGAAAAACAAACTCTCGCTCCCGGCAGCGGGGAGGGATGCGCGGGCGCGGCTCGTCCC